AGGCTAGCTGTAACAAATGGATAAGAAGTAAGGAGCTAAAGAACATGAGTACATTAAGCTCATGAGAGTACGTGAGAATACGTTCTAAGAATATATGTCCTAAGCATGAAATTGGGGCGGAAGTGGTGTAGTGGCAAGTGGCACGCTTACCACGCGAGCGGTCCGGGGATCAAATCCTGGGTCGTGAGTCGCCCGGGCCAACCAAGCCTTCCATCCCTCCGGGGTCGGTTAATTGGTACCAGACTTGTCTGGGAGGATAAAAACACTGACTTGTACATCGGCTGGCCCCCGCAAGTCATTGTATAGGCCACATCGCATTCAAACGCCACTACGAATGTACAAATGGAAGTAGAATGCGTGCCGCATCCCAAAAAGGGATTGATCAACGGCAAATGCTTTATTTATTATTTAAATATGAAATTTATATAATTAATACCTCTGCACCACCTTCTTCCTATCACCAGCCTCACTCCGTTCGAACCAGATGTGGTGCTCCGCGCGACTTAATGAGTCTTGTATGAAACCTAAAATAAATTCCAAATAATCAACCAATTGTAAGTCTGGTCACAGATTGGGCAAAGAAAAACAAACTAGTCAGTAAATGGAATGCCGAAACTTTCGCAAGAAACGGCACTTCAACCAAAATACCACATGAATAAACTAACACACCAAGGAAGCCTCCTTGCTTTTGCCCAATCATTGCGTAACAATTATCACAACTCAACACCATAACATCAATCGGTGATGTGTGATTTGCAACACAAATACCTCCTTTCTTCGCTCGATTTTCCCTGCAAACTCATTCATAAATATAAAGAACATCTAAAGAATAACAAAAGCTTCCCAGCTACTCTTCTTGACTCATTAATGGATGATTGCTGTAGTGGGCTTAGGCGCCACATAGCTTTCGCACCCGAGTTGGTCCACGCAATCAAGCCCACCCCTTTGACAGCCGAGTAGTCGGTACCACACATTTTATCCCAGTTGGATAAAACCTGTTCTACCTGGAAACTCACTCTACCCGGGTCCTTGCTTTGGTGCTAATTTAGTTGGGGGGGCACGCGGCGGCGCGGCAGTCTGCTCACCTGAGCTCTCTCGAGCGAGACAGTGTAAACTCGAACATT